GGGTCAGAGGCTGAAGGGCATAGATTGCCCAGAGGATATGTCAAACATGTGGCATAGGATTTTATCGACGCATTAACGCTTGAAGGTAGTCAATGAGCCTACGACGTTGTCCTTAAGACAGAGAATGTATGAGAAATCGCACAACACCTCGAAAAGGGAGGGAGAGTCATATAATGCGAACTCGTCGATATCATTTGCGCAAAGCGTATACAGAACAAAATTTTACCGAGAAAATTAGTTTTTAAAGTAGCTATTTGTGAGTCACACAATCAATGTCTTCCATGAAGCTGAGCACGTTGAAGTTAATAATTCCATTCACTGTCGTTTACTAGCGCTTATAACGACGAAAGTGATAATTTAAGACTCTATTTGCAATTTGAAACGCAGAAATAAGGTTTTTCACTATGTCTTGCTAAGCTAACTCCGCACAATTTCTGCTCCCAAGATTACTATGTAAAGCAGTCTTAGAACTTAAGCATTTGTCAATCTTTTAAAAATGTTTCTAAAAAAAGACCTGCTGTTAAAGGCAGTGGATCGGCAGAATGAATCCCGTGGCAAAACAAGGTCACTTGGTAGGAGCCTTCGTAATGGAACCTATCGGCCAAAGTCCGATTTTTCTTTGCCACTTCTATCCCCCTAAATTTCAAAAAACAAAAGCAGCGCTCATCTCCTCTCCTCTCCAACCCCACCCATCCCATGGACGAGTGAACGCGAGGCCCACCGTAGCGAAGGCGCAGGACTCTTATGCTTAAAGCATTGCGGATGCGCGCTCTGACCGTGGAATTCACTCGTCCATGGAGTGGGCGGGGTCGGAGAGGAGAGGAGATGAGCGCTGGTTTCGCGTTGAAATTTCGGGGGTTAAAAGTGGCAGAGAAAGATCGGACTTGGCCGATAGGTTCCATTATGGGGGCTCCTACCCTGTGACCTTGTTTTGCCACGGAACTCATTCTGCCGACCCACTACCTCTAAGCGAGGATCTTATCCCATCTGCCTCCATCCCGCCTCGCCCTTCCAAGGACTGATTTGGCAGGCAAGCACAATTGCGATGCAGTTTCTGTTGCATACGGCGACTAAAACCGGATCATTTTCCACCAAAATAAAATTTCAGGAAAAATCTTTGAAGTTGTTGCTATTTTGCAGTTCATAAATAAAACCAGTGTCCCAAAAACGATGGATGCATGAAGGCCAAGAATTAGAGTGGACGTTGCTTTGAAACACAGTAAGCACAGAGGAGATGCGTTTGCGTTTGAATTCTAGCTGCAGGCATTGTTTCTCAATTTGTATCGCAGGGTGCTTCTTAGCGCAACTCTTAATAGCTTTAACTGCTTATACAGTAGCACGAAGTGACCTACGTCATGTGATGTTAACAAAATGTTACAAGAAATTGCAAGCTTCTAGTTTCCTAACTTTTCTGTTCTGTGTCCTTTTGTGCCTGTTTGGCGTGATATTGCAAGTAGTTTTGGTGATAATGTGTGGTTTTCGCTGCAAGTTCAATAAAAAGCAGATTACGCAGATTACAAGTGCTGCACAGTAGTCCGTCTGCTGGTACGGCATATGAATCAAATTTTATTGAGTTTATTATCAACTTGCGTTTTTATGCAGTCACAGGCAAACATAACTTAGAATTCAAGACAGAGAAATGACTTTCATTTGCATTTTCGTTGTCACTGCTTTCAGCCGGATTTGAAAACTCAAGTTCAGATGCTGCTCCTAAGCCGTCATGCATCTTTATGTATGACTAGCTAGCTTTCCCAGTCCACCTTGGATTACCGTTCAGGAGGATGGCCGAACCACACTTTGTCTCTTCTCCCTCCTTTTTTTGTTTCTGCCATACCTTTTTTTGTAGTCTCTATACAGCGCTGAAGGTTCCTCCTCTTCACCTTCTGCCCGAGCTTGTCTCAGGGTGACTGATTGGAGTTACTGCATCTTCTACACTTTAGATTGAAAATGGACTTTACTGCATTGTCTACACCAAAATGTGCATGGGGTTTGATAGTGGCTGATAAGCTTCATTTTCATTGCAAAAGCCAAAATCAATAAATCAATAGAAGGATCCAGCGAATCGCTTAAAGAAGTAGCCTAAAACCATCTACGGGACGTGGGTGTACGGCAGCAAGTGAATCCTTTTGCGATTTTTCTGAAATTCTAGGGAGGGGGGGGGAGTAATCTGCGGTATTGGGTGTGGTTAGTTCTAAAATATGCGAACACGCCGTGATGATGCCGTCGTTGTTGCTTTTCCCCTCTTCTGTTTGTTTAGTAGCTTCAAGCACCTATTTATTACTAGAAGGGGTGGGTTCGAGTACAGGACACGAATATTATGTTCACCTCCCCTCTCTCAAAATGCAAAATTCATCTCAGACCGTGCACCAATTGTGCCCCGAGAATTACGGTAAGGCAAGGTACCAAAAGATTCGCCTTAATGAGCTGAGTATAACCCTTGTTTCAGATCCAGAATTTATGCATTCCGAAGGAAGTTATGGCGATATTCCGAAAATTCCGCGAAATTCCCGGAATGTCGCGAAATTCCGAGATGTCGCGGAATTCCGAGAATGTCGCGAAATTTTCGGAATATCGCGACATTTCCGGAATTTCGCGACATTCCGGGAATTTCGCGGAATTTTCGGAATATCGCCATAACTTCCTTCGGAATGCATAAATTCTGGATCTGAAACAAGGGTTATACTCAGCTCATTAAGGCGAATCTTTTGGTACCTTGCCTTACCGTAATTCTCGGGGCACGTTTGGTGCACGGTCTGAGATGAATTTTGCATTTTGGGAGAGGGGGGTGAACACAATATTCGTGTCCTGTACTCGAACTCACCCCTTCTAGTAATAAATAGGTGCTTGAAGCTACTAAACAAACAGAAGAGGGGAAAAGCAACATCGACGGCATCATCACGGCGTGTTCGCATATTTTAGAACTAACCACACCCAATACCACTGATTACTCCCCCCCCCTCCCTAGAATTTCAGAAAAATCGCAAAGGGATCGGCCATACTATTCCTGCTACTCCTACGACTCCTGTATTCCCGCACAGTTAAGACGCCGCTTAAATGAGCGCGTGTTGCGTGTTACGTGTTGTTTTACGCAACACGCGCTCATTTAAGCGGCGTCTAAACTGTGCGGGAATCACAGGAGTCGCAGGAATCGCAGGAGTTGTAGGAGTAGCAGGAATAGTATAGCCGATCCCAAAAGGATTCACTTGCTGCCGTACACCCACGTCCTCTCTCCCAAAATGCAAAATTCATCTCAGATCGTGCACCAATCGTGCCCCGAGAATTACGGTAAGGCAACGTACCAAAAGATTCGCCTTAATGAGCTGAGTATAACCCTTGTTTCAGATCCAGAATTTATGCATTCCGAAGGAAGTTATGGCGATATTCCGAAAATTTCGCGACATTCCCGGAATGTCGCGAAATTCCAAAAATTTCGCGGTCCTTCGCGGATTTCCGGGGTATCCGCGACATTCATGGAAATTTTGCACGTTCTGAGAGCGGTATTGTATATATATACATATATACGTGTATCCCAAAAAATGTTATCGAAAGTTGATTTTTTAATAACTTTCGTATACGGAAAGCTTTCGCGGTTCCTTGAGTGTCATGCGGTGAGCTGGGCTCAACTTAGATTTACAGTATCGTACGAATCACAGATTCTCTTAGTTACTGTAGGGTTACGCTAGAGATTTTCAACTAATTTTATGCTTAAGACAGGAGACAGCTGCTTCCAAAAAATTCCAAAAAAACGAAGGACGTTAAACTGAAGTTTTCGGGGATGCTGAATGTAATTATGTAATGCTTTGGCTAACGCGAAGGCTTTTGACGGCGTATTTGTAATTGCAACATTGATTCAGTAAATTTTGGGAAAAAAGGAAAAAAATTTGGCGTTACAGTGCGCATACCTTAGGAAGATAAGCAGTAGTAGCGAAAACTTTGTACCCTATTTTCAGGTGTATAAGCCGCACTTTTTCAAATTTTCGCCCGGGCTGCTCAGCCGCTTTATTGTGTTTCGAGAAGCGATCCTTATGCCGTACGACTCTTTCAGGCAATACACAGCATGCGTAGGGTCCTTTGGTTGAGGGGTCCTTTGATGTATTCGGGCTGGTCGATTTAAGCTAGGACCACCCCGCAGCTTATACACCTGAAAATAGGGTAACTAGATTCACCATCCCCGAAAATTTCACTTTTACGTCCTTCGGTTTAGTATTTTTTGTAAGCAGTTCTCGCCTGTCAGAAGCTTATAATTAGTCCAAGTTCCTACCGTAATCCTACAGTAACTGAGAGGATTTGTGATTCGCTTCATACAGTAAATCTAAGTTGAACCCAGCTCTACCGTATGACCTCAAAGATTCACCAAAGTTGTCCATATAAGGAATTATTTATAATCAAGCGTTCGATACATTTTTCTGGAGCACCCTGTATATAGACTGTACAGTTTAGGATTCTTTTGATCAGGTTGAACTGGAGCTACAGTACTCTCAATTTTAGCATCGTCTGCGTTGTTCTATTATAACTTTCAAAGCTATGTTTCATTTACAAATCACTCGTAATGAGATTCAAAAGGAAGTTATTGAAGATTAAACGTTTTTCAACTTGCTAAACATTCGCATTTCGTCTTTCGCGTTTCGTGGTAAGAGTGTAGTATTTGCATACAACCGGCAATCTTAAAAAAAGACTTTGTGTCAATCGCATTATTGTAGTGCGAGCAACATAACAGATGCTGTGCTTTTTAGTTAAACGCTTATCGCAAGCTCTGCTTGTTGCTTCCCCATCTATAGAAGCGATCTCACCTTCAAAATACACCCCCAGAAGAAAGTGTTTCCAGTTTTGTAGCTTGTGCTTACCAGCTGGATTTAGAGCTCCATTTTAGACTGAGGTTGCACTTTTTTCTTTAGACACATCATCTCTTCTTTTACTTATTGTATCTTTGGACTACTCTTTGAAAACATAAATGTGATGTGATCAGTTTTCAAACACAGAAATTTTGAAGTATACATCGCTTATGTAGCATGATAATCCGACACATCTGGTTGCTGCCCATCTTTGCAGCAAGTTTAGCAGTAATTGGCATGTTCTGTGGGTGAGTATGTCGACTTTCAATATGTTGGCTTTTTGATTTATAACTATTAGGTTGATGCAAAATTCCTGCACCAAAATGGGTACAGACCGCAATAACTCGCAATAATCTTATATCCCAAGTAGGATTCGATATATCATTAGATAGAGCAAACCTAGCTCTACAAGGTGTTGCCTAACGTTTTGCAGCAGCTTTGATCCAAGCGAAGATTGAAGCCGAAAACCAAAAAGATCCAAGCACCCCAAAAAACCAAGAAAAAATTGGAAGTCAGTTCAGAAAAATCCTCCAAAATTTCTAACTTGCTCATGCATTGTCATTTCGTATAAGACATTTCTCTATGCAGTTGCTGTATTTTTCTCTCAGCTAGAAATTGAGAAACCGAAGTTTTTCACGTTTTTCCAAAACAATGCTGAGATGTTCTAGCACTGACAGTTGTACTATACTTAGAAGCGTAAGTGTGAAGTTTACGAGAAATATCAAATTTTTGGCAACTATTGAAGGAAAATTGCGTGAAGAGAGCTAGAACGTCATTTCTCGTGAACTAGCTGTTCTAGAAGGCTGAAAATTGTTTCACTGATAATGGCATAATACAACTATTAGTGCTGGAACATCTCAGCATTAATTTGGCAAAAACATGAAAAACTTTCTCATCGTCTAGCTGAGAAAAAATACAGAAACCGCATAGATAGATGTATTACGTGAAATATCTACGCGTGAGCAAGAAAGAAATTTTGTAGAAGCTTTTTGAACGAAGTTGCAATTTTTCAAAATTGGTCTTAAGGTTTTCGGACGCATGGTTTTTTTCACTTTTTGAGTCAAAACTTCGCGTGGATCAAAGGTGGTGTAGATATTCGAGGATTATCTTGTAGAGCTAGATTTGCGCTTTTTAGATATATCGAATCCTACTTGGGATATAGGATTATTCCGGGTTATTGCGGTCTGTACCTATTTTGGTGCAGGAATTATGCATCAACCTAATATAACAACATTTAGCTATATCATTGGAACCTCTGTGAATCACTTCCATCCTATCCTGCCTTTCATAAGGTAATTACAGCAGTAAATGTTTTTTTTTATAAATCTGTATTACAGCGATGGTGGCGGCAAGGTTCCAGAGGCTGCAGTATTTTCTCAAATTTTGAACTTTGCTGGTTTCCTGTGTATGTTTTCATACTCTGGTTCGTAAAATCCAAATTCATCAGCCAGCTTGCAGATATTATCACCATCTACATACTCTACCGGGAGACTTTTGATTACTACCGGAAATGCCTGAATTGGAATAAAACAATTTGGTGGTACGCTACAATTGCCCTGTCGATTTTAGGACTTTTAAGCGCTTTTGGATTGACTATGGTCGCAAATTTTCGAGTCAGCTCAGCCTTTAATTTGATAGCGAAGAACTGACTAGTTTCTTTAAGTCTACCGAAATTAAAGTCGTACATAAGATTGCTGCACTATTATGCTTCTCTTCCATGGTCATTTATGGATGGGGACATATTATCTTTGGGTGAGTTGCAGTCTGCTCAAAACTTACGAAAACTTTTACTTTATATTGTTGAGAATGTAAGATTTCCGTAACGTCAGCTAAGAACTCATATAAATTTGGACCTTCTCTACCTTCAACTCATAGTCTCTATCATTAAGTAGTCACCATTATCTTTATAAGCGATCTTCGATTAACCAAAATTCTCCTTGTAAAGATTATAAATCATTATACATGATCAAAAACAGGTACATACTGCTTGGCGTTTAAATCTTTATTCCCATGAAGCCTTTTGCTGAGCTTTATGTAGTTTAGATTTGATCGTAAAGGAATCCACGAATCCTTCCATTAGTGTAGGATTACGCTACGAACTCAGAGAACGGTTTTGAGGCATTAAGAACCACTTCTGCTTCAAAATGAAAACCAAGTACTAGGCTCATCAGAGTCGTTGCCTTTGGTCTTGAAACTCTCAATTTACCGTAAAGCTCTTCTCGTATGTGTCATGCCAGCTATACTGCAACGACGTTTGAAGGTCTCGCGAAAATGTGATTGAACCCTTTAACAGGCTTAGGAAGCTCGTAAAAAATTGTTTATTAAAAATAGAGTGCCTGAAAATACTGTCTCAAGGCTTTCCAGATTTTTTAAAAGTTTTTCAAAAGGTCGATTTTACGATGACTACATGCTGGAAGTTCCCGTCATGATTCTAAAGTACATTGTAAATCTACGATAAAGTCAGGTCTAAACGAACAGCTTGGCAAGAAACTTTCTGGGAAGGAAGATATAAATGCTAAAACAGTATATACATACTCTTTTGGGACATCCTGTATCCAGCATCGGTTCGTTGACATTAACATCACTAGCACTAGATTTAATAAAAATCAAGAATATGTACCGTCCAAGTATTCTAGATATGCGGTAGTGCCACGATTGGTACCCCTTGTAATGTTGCATTTGCGTCTTCTCATTATGTGTTTCACAACATGCTGTCTTATACTCTGTGAGTTTTTACCTTCGAACTGAATCTCAACCTGAGCAGTCGGATACATATACAGGGTGTCCGTAAAGTATGTATACACTGTTTGATCGTTAATATCTTTTTTCCCAAGGAGTCTTTTGCCTTGCTTCAGGTACCATTTTGTAGAGCTGATTTCAACTTAGATTTCAGTTTGGAGTGAATCACCCATCTCTCTTTATTACTGTAGGATTACGGTGGAAGCTTCAAAGAGGGTTTTGAGTCATGAAAGGCCATATTTTGCCTCAGAAAGGAAACAAAACAATCTGAAAACCTTTACACTAGGCTAATTAGAGTTGCTGATTCTAACTGTAAAGTTCCCAACTTATTATGATGCTTCACTGAAGAGTTATGCCAGGTAAGAGGTAGCGGCCATTTTTTCAATGTTCCCAAAAAGTGCGGTTGCACCGTTTAGAAAACTTAGCAATCTTGTGAATAGTTGAGAATTGAACTCAGCGTCCATGAAAACCCTATTGCACAAGTTTTCACATCTTTTTGAAAATTTTTGAAACGGCAGCTTTTTCCACATTGACACCATATGTTTCAAGTTTCTACCGTAATTCTACAGTAATGAAGAGAGTTGGGTGATTCACTCCATACTGCAAATCTAAGTTGAAGCCAGCTCTACAAATTGCTACCTGAAGCAAGGCAAAAGACTTCTTGGGAAAAGAGATATTAACGATCAAACAGTGTATACATACTTTAAGGACACCCTGTATATCTATGAAGTGTATGTCATATATTAGGTTTGTAAGAAAGTTCTCGGACATTTTCAGAAAAGATCTGCTATTTCTCGAAACCTAACGCATATACATCAGATAGAGGTACATTCGATAGAGCAAAGCAAGCTCTACAAGATGGTATGCAAAAGTTCGTACCAGCTTCTACCCACCGTAAGTCTGCACCCAGAATCTGAGTTGTACCGAAATTCAAAAAATCGCGAAAAATTCATATTTTTGTTCAAACAAATCCTACGGATTTCCAACTTGCTCATAAAAATTGCGGACCACATCGGACACTCATAAGCACCGTTCCTATAATTTTTCCTCATCTGAAAATCGAGAAAACAAAAATTTTCATGCTTGTATAAAAGCGAAGCTGTGCTGTTTCCACCTATGTAATTGAATAGTACAAGCCCTTAGAAGTATGACCGTAAATTTTCGGCTTTCTACAGGCTTTAGTTCCCGAAAATTACCGAATTGAGCGCTCCTCACTCAGGCGCTCCATGCTAAAATCAAAATTTTTCGACAACTAGGGCTTACGGAAAGCCGAAATTTTACGATTATACTTCTAAGGGCTTGTACTATTCAATTACATGAATGGAATTAGCACAGCTTCGTTTTTATACAAGCATGAAAATTTTCGTTTTCTCAATTTCCAGATGAGGAAAAATTACAGGAACGGTGCATATGGGTGTCTGATATGGTCCGCAATATTTGTGAGCAAGTTGAGGATCCGTAGGATTTGTTTGAACAAAGATATGAATTTTGATTTTTTGAATTTCAGTACGACTCAGATTTTGCATGCAAACTTACGGTGGGTTGAAGCTGGTGCGAACTTTTGCATACCATCTTGTAGAGCTTGCTTTGCTCTATCGAATAATGCCCATATTTGATGTATATGCGCTGGGTTTCGAGAAATAGCAGATCTTTTCTGAAAATGTCCGAGAACTTTCTTACCAACCTAATATTTGCATGGCCAAAAAAGAGGTGTTTCATCAGTTATGAAAATATTTCTGCAAATGATTTGCTATCTCTCATGAACGTTTCATTCACAAGGAAAGGATCCAAAGTCGCAGTGCAGTACGGGACAAAATGAGTATCATACGTAGCTGCTTACCAATATCTGATCAGCGATTTTTTAGAAGTAGTTAGGAGCGTGAAAGTGCGAAGTCACAGGGATGTAATGCATAATGTGCTTTGAGGTTCAGCTTGAGAGAACGTATTTGGCACGATGCTCAGCACGAGGGTGACAAATGGTAATCGGTGAAACGACTTCGCCTTTGCCACTATCGATTTTCACGATTTTCCATTTTATCCCGCTAGCTATGCAGATTGTTCAATTGGAGCGCACTTTCTCCTCCAAAATATCCGCCGTCGTTGATATTACTGATCCCAACAAGGAGAAAAAAAGGAGTTTTGGAACTAAACTGTTACTAGGCATACTGAGGTTTAGATGTAAAACGGACTCATGTAAGAATTTAAAAAGCTTACACGAATTGGAAGTTTTCCCCTAGCTCAGGTAGGTGGGTTGGCAATTGCCCACCTATCTTGGAAAAGAGTTGGCACGCTCTTCTGTCACATAAGTTTTTCATAATTTTTCCCCTGCCCCTACCCTACTTTGTTCCTTAGTTCTACTGCGCATATACACAATTCTCGCGCAGTTTCGTCATCTCTGCGTTGCAAATCCACTTCTCCATTTTTTGATAGCGAAAAAAACTTGCCACAACCTTCAGTCAAATAATTCTTCAATGAAACTTCTCAGTCATTTTCTGCGGCTCCGTTTCATGCTCAGCGCGTTGCAAAACGAGCCATTTGAATTCACATCTTCATTTACCAGTTAGGTAAGATTCTTGGAAAAATCGCTTATTACACCCTCCATTCATATTGAGTTTTCGATAATTTTTCATACCTTGTTTCCACTAGCTTCTCTCCGTTCGCTCAATTTGGTGCCATATGGTTACTCATACGTTGAGAACTACTCATGCATGTTGTTACAGGTAGCATCGTTTAAGCGACGTCGCGCATGCGGCAATTAGCGAAAGCGTCGTTTGGCGCGCGCAAATTCCAGTGTTCGCCTGTTGAGGCACATAACATGTTGAGTCAAGAGAGCATAAACTACCAATTCTTTCCGGGGCTTCGCCACGGACCCCTCAAAAACGAAATTTCCTTTGCTTTTTCACCCAAAACGATCTTCAGCCTGTCATTTGCCCACTTCGTGCCGCGCTCTTTTCACATACTGTTGTTTTCAATGACTACAAGAAGAAATACATTCATCAGAAACTTGATGAATTTTTTTAGCTTTTAATCATTGGATGTATCGCTTTGGATATCGCTGAATCCTCTTTTCAGCAGCTCATAGCTTTTACAAAGTTTCGCTCAGATCGGCACATCAAGATGCATCTTATGTTCATACTTTATTCCAGGTCATCACTGCTTCTTGGGTTCCTTCTTTGGTAATTCTTGCATTGTGTATTCTTCACAATCTTGTAATGAGGTTTCGAAGTCCATTGTGAAGAATGTTAAAATGACTTAAGCAAAAATTAAATTTGTACAGTTTGTTCACTTTGGGATGTCAATGACAAGCTGACTGCCATATCTCTTCTTGATGAATGATTGCGAGAGCAAAATTCACATGAATTTGCATCTGATTCCCACATTCTGTGAATGATTGCTTTTGGCAAAGCCCTAACAGTAAGCAGTCTTGTCTTGCAGGTTTCCTACAAAAAAAACCTAAATTTTAACGGCTAGCAAACCCAGCTCCACCTGGCTTTGTCAATAGCATATTCGTTATCAGCATGCCCACTGCCCACACCAACTCCCAGCCTCGTAGGTGAAGAAAATCGATAAAATCAATATCCGTCAATGAAGAAATGTGGCCTACGACACTCACCCTGTCCGAAGTGTATGTGTACAAAGTTTGGTCTGGATCGATTTGAAAGTAAAGAATTCTGTTTGAAACGTGCGTACATGTACAGGGCTCCTAAATTGCAGAGTCGTTTGCACCAGCGGTCGCGCGACCGTGTCGCGCCCGGACATCAATGGCGCCGCTTCGATCGATGGCGCCGGAACCGGCAAAATGCCCGGGCGCGACGCGGTCGCGCGACCGCTGGTGCAAACGACTCTGCAATTTAGGAGCCCTGTATACACGTAGACGTGCATCCACACACACAAACAGAAAAACAGAAAACAGAAAACTTTGGCTTCATTTCTACAGATCTATGTGTGATAAGTTGATGAATCAAAACTAGTTGTTGAATAGCTGTCTAGACATGTCAGAGCATGTTGCTAACAAAGATACCTTAGCATCATTGACACCTATTTGATGTCATTTTCAACTTTGCAAACACTTGCTGATACATTGAAATTAGCAAGTTTACCTTCATGTGGGATTGTAGTGAAGTACAGTTACTCGATTACGCATCAAGTTATGCAAAGTCACATACATCCAAAACATACATGCAACAACGTATCTTTGAACTTATTTTAAGATAGATGTGGCAACGTAATTTATTTTTAGATTTTCTGGCAGTATTTACTCCGACATTTTACCCAAATGACGCTGGACCCTTCCCAGGAATCCACAGGTATTCGCGCTCAAGAGACTCACCGGTAAGTGTATACTTTACAAAACGATGAGAAAAGAAGGATTTTTTAGACTTATCGAACATTCATCATAGCAAGCAGTAGCGAGTGGGGCATGGTGCTAGCAATTCAGGTGTTTGTCATGTCGTTAGCTATGGAGCTGCGTAATTGTTATGGATATGCCTCACGAATAATATTTGAGCACGATGAAGCCGAAAAAAAGAAAATGGAACTCTATAGTTGATGTTGAAGATACAAGTGCAATTATATTTGCGACGTTACGCAATTCTATCTCAATACATGTCTTTTTAAAAAGTTTCCATTTGCTTATGAATTGTCATTTATATTGTCGTACTTTTGAAATATGTTTCAATACCTAATGCTATTCCTCTCAATCGCTTAATAACACTTTTTTGGCCTATTGTTTAAAGCTCATTCAAAGATAGGCCAAGATCAACATGTGCGGGTCACATCGATCTTACTAGCACAGTTGTTGTTATTACCCGATAAAAGAGTGTCTAGATAGATCCAGATAAACGCGGATATCAAGTCTGACCACTCGAACATGCAAACAAGACAGGTTTGATGCCCCCATAACTACGGACCTAATGCGACTTACGAGGAAGGTACTTTCAATGGCCGTGGCCTTTTGATATGAGATGAATGCCGACTGAAGCAGCTTCGAACGTTGATTCTAAATTAGCTTTCCTTTTCTGCGGAGCGCCCTTCTGAAGAGGGTTATGGAAGTCTGAAAATCCTATTTTGGGGCGATCCTTGAGTTAGAGAGCGCTACCATGCGCGTTGCTGGTGCAATGGTGTAGTCGTTAGTTGTTGGCATTAAAAGCGAAAGATCGATGGTTTGAATCCAGTGCGGAATGTACCATTTCGCACTACGAAAGTGAATTAAATCACTGTAATTACAAACACTTACAGTAATGCCTTTAGCAAATGTGATAATGAAAAAACTTACTGGCAGAACCGCTTGCTTGTTGAGAATTGGTTTTCTCCGCAAAAAAATCATGTACAGAGGTGGAGCGAAATTACAAAGTGAGCAAAACACAGAGATCTCACAACGGGGGACAGCATATGAAGAAATCCTTTGCGCAATTCTCATGCTCGCGAGTCGCGAATACCCATTAAGTTACTAGGGGAACAATGTTGGAGTGGCATTTCAAATGAATTCAAAACCTTTCATATGATTTCAAACAAACCGGCTTCGAACCATCGACCTTTCGCCTTCAATGCCAACAACTAACCACTACACCATTGCACCACCAGCGTAAATGGCAGCGCTCTCTAACTCAAGGATCGCCCCAAAATAGGATTTTCAGACTTCCATAACTCTCTTCAGAAGAGCGCTCCGCAGAAAAGGAAAGCAGATTTGAAATCAGCGTTCGAAGCTGCTTCAGATGGTATGTATCACATATCAAAAGGCCACGGCCATTGAAAGTACTTCCCTTGTTAGTGAATATGAAAAAATTGACATCGAGGCATTAAGAGGTCAAAACAAATATATGACAAGAGGGGACACAAAATAAGATAATATGTTAACAAAATAACACAGCAACTAAACAAAATAGTACGGCGAGTAGTAGAGTAGTAGATGTTACACGCCTCCTTCGCGTCCTAACACTTGGTAAGGTGTGATGCTATGTCTTTGATGATGTTTGTGGAATCTTTAACGTTCAAATCTGCGCGTGGGCGTGCATGCAGACTTTTATTGAGTTTTTGTCCAATTTCTGATTGTTTGTACTGTCCTTGTTCATTTTTTTCTTCTGAAGTTGTTGTCCATGTTGTTACCCTTCTTTCCTCCCTTGCAGCCCATACTGCCTTTGTCCACGTGATCTAGTAAGTTGATACTGTATCGTTTGCCGCCGTCGTGTAGGGGGCTCCACAGCGTCGATTGGTTCGTGCGGCGGGCTTGAGGTCGGTGTATGCAAGTTCGAGCGGGCGTGGTGCAGATGTTTTGCGGCGGCCAGACCCAGGCATACATACCTTTATCAAGAGCTTCCCCATGTGCGAAGCGTACGTGTGGTCGATCGTTTAGTGTGCCGGCGTCCGAAGTCGTTGCATGCAAGTTCGCAGCGCGCGCGATGCGAATATTTTGTGGCGGTCTGCCTGCGGCCAGCCTGCGAGTTCACGCCGGAGTTGGCAATTTTCCGTGATGTGTGCCAACTTGGCGACATCTTTGATGCCGCCAGGTAGGGTAGGTTACTACCAGCCCAGAGTTTCATTGCAAACTCTTATGGCCAGAACTCAAGAATGAAGGCAGACTTTCAAAAATTTAGCTGCTTTATGTAATAGAGATTGTCTACGTTATACACACTTTACTATTTTTTTAGATTTTACCTAGACTGAGATTTGACGTTTGAATCTGGGTAGTCGTTTTAGTCATTCTGCGACCCTAAATTTCCTTTAGAAAGAGCAACGCGAGATGGTCATTCTGCAAGCGTAAGGGTAGCCTTCTGTTAACAATTTATCAGAAAAGAAGAAATTTCAGCTATTCAGTATGATAAAATGAATAAAAAAAACTCCATATTTTGTGCTTCAGGGCCTACGAAAAAATGTTGAAAAAAGCTGACAATTATGAATTAAATTTTTTCCATTTCGCAAATTTTCTTTGCTTTAGCCCTTTTTATTCCTGTGTACTAATGGCTTGCTGCTACAAGATGGGCTATTACTTACAATAACAAATTTTGAAAAAAGTTGTAATCAGTTAAAAACGAGGTTTAGAAAAAAAACTTTTTATTGCTTTTCAATCCATATTTTTCTCCCGTTTGTGATATGACTAAAGGTGATTTGGTGTATTGCGAAAAGTCCGCGGCCTCTGATGATCTTTATCGCCATGAAAAATGTAGAGTTTCTGGGAAGTTATGGAACGTCAAACTGAGGACTCGCAAAACGCGCACTACTTTTGCATCAGCCTAATAGAAGCTGTTCGAAAGCAGCAATTTACGTTTCTGGTCAATGTGCTCATTCCTTGTAGTCAGTGGCGTACCGAGGGGGGGGGGCGGGGCCCCCCCCCCGAGAACGGGTCGCGAAAATTTTGAAAGTTACTTACATGAGTCATAGAAATGTGCAGAAGATTTATTTATACTTGTAAGTAATTAAAATAACTTTTAAATTTTTTAAAAATTCAATTAGCTTTGTGAAAAAAAATTTTTTTCGGGGGCGTGGCTTCAGCCACGCCCCCTTTTCCTAAAATTTTGGGGTTATGGGCCCTAAAAGTTTCGAGAAGCGCACCAAAAATTTTTTCTGTGGCCGTATTCATCAACGAACCCTCAAGGTTAAATTCTACCTCAACTAGCATTTTGGCTTATAACCCGTACTCACAACATGATCGCGATGAAATTCTCTCATGGGTTAAGTCTACCTTGAGGTAGAAATGAACCTTCAACCCGCATTCACCATTCTACCTTGAGGTTGAATTATACCTCAATCATCATTTCTCCACCAACTTTCCATTATGCGTCCAAGGTAGAATTTAACCCTAGGTTAGCTAGGGCTAAAATCTACCTCGAATTTGCACATAAGAGTTGAACTCTTTATAAGGACCTCCTTCATTCTAATTTTTGAGGACTTTATTCTGACGCAACCATTTTCAAGGACGAATATATTTTATCAATACTAGCTCAAATTTCACTTGTTTACTTACATGGAAACCTTTTTTTGTCGAAGTTACCTTTTTGGATGGGATGTATAAATTTTGAAAAGCAGAAAACATTCCAAATCTGTCTTTTTGTTTGTGGGACGCACTAGTCCTCAAATAAAGCAATAATTGTAAGATTTATTAGCTGGACACTAAGTTTTGCACCTAGTTTCATAAATGCAACCTCTTTAGTTATGGCGCATTCAAACTTTGGCAATATGTAAAGAGTAATATGTGACACAACTGCGCGCAGATTGCTAAAATTTTGACATGAAATAGGAAAGTTTCGAGCATTTTTCGAAAACTAGTGAATTCTGAGAGTTTCAGGAGTTTCAAGCTAAGATGAAGCTGTTACCAGCCTAGACCATACGCAGTGATCCGGAATCGTGTACGAATTATGGCTAGAAGTTGACTCATTGGCTTAGTGAGAAATGAACAAAATTTAGGGTCGTCGAAATTTGGCGCCCTCACAAAGTCGACCAAATCGCAGTACGCAAGGGCTGAGGGGGACGACCGTCAATGACTAAAGATTCAGAAGCTCAATTTTCGCCGAGACTTGACATATTAAGGCTACTTGACCTATCAGATACGAATATCATATTCATCTTATATATAAAGCTGAATGTCTGTTGTCTGTATGTCTGTCTGTCTGTATGTCTGTCTGTATGTCTGTCTGTCTGTACGTATGTTCCGAATAGAAAATTCCATTTCTGAACCGATCCGGACCAAACTTGGCACACATACACTACGGGCCCCGGCGGGTGTCATAGGCTACTTTTCGTCATCGATCGATATCGATTTTATCGATTTTATCGATTTTTTTGCAAAGTTTGAGCTACGGGGCTGGGAGTTGGCACAGGGGGGTAATCGAGCATGGGGATTCCGAATACAATATTGGTTTTCAGGATTATCGATTACTTTTATCGATTTTATCGAATTTTTTGCAAAGTTTGAGCTACGGGGCTGGGAGTTGGCACAGGGGGTAATCGAGCATGGGGATTCCGAATACAATATTGGTTTTCGGGATTATCGATTACTTTTATCGATTTTATCGATTTTTTTGCAAAGTTTGAGTTAGGGGGCTGGGAGTTGGCACAGGGGGGTAAGCACTTGGCACAGGGGGGTAAGCGGGCACAGGGGGTAAGCTTTTTGAGCACTTTTTGGGCTAGAATTCATGCCGCACAGACATACTTGTCAGGCAAATCACAGCTTTGCAAAAGTCGAATTAGCGACCCAGTTTTGCGTGCCAAAAGGCGCGTGGACCCGTTTGACGCGCGAATTTTGAAAGACCCGCTTATCGAACCGGCTCGTCCTTGTGCATGGTGGGCCTACACGCTGGCACGGTATGTTATGCAAAATTGTAGCTCGATAGCTTAGTAGCAGCTTCCTCTATGAATTTCGTGACAGACAGATTTTCACACAGACACACAGACACACACACAAAAAAACAGACGGCCTTAGCGCGTTATTATATTAGGATACCTAGCTTAATCCTATTGTGAAGCTAGAATAAGGCAAAACAGCAGCTGCGCTTGTAGGTTACGTCACAGCCTACACAATCGCAAACTTTAAGTGCCTATGTCGAGAGAGAGGAAAACATTAAATGAGTTGCAAAACTTAGTTTCCAACTATTTGATTATTGGAGTATCTATTAAATAAAGAGCTTTAATGATTATCATTGTTCCACTGAAGCGCTAGAAAATATGCTGCGACCATTTTTGTCCTTCTTGCAAATCTAATTTCCTCTCCAAAAAACGCTCATGCTTTGTCCATAAATTCCGCAGCTAAGGAAAGCAGTGGCATCAGCGTTTTAAGCCCTTTAAAATGGTATTAGAGCCCAGCACGACGGTGACAAATAGACACCCGTGAAATACTTCGCCTTTGCCACTGTCAATTTTTGTGATTTCCCACTTGATCTCGCCAGTTGCGTAGGTTGTTCGATTGGGCGACTCCCTCCTTAAAAGGACCGGCCGCGTGCTGTTCCGCATCCTAACAAAGTGGTGAGGAGGAGATTTGGCACCAAAGTTTTACATACTAAACTATGAGAGTGAAACAGAGTTATGTAAAGATTTTGGAAACTTAAGTGAATCTTTGCGGTGTTTGCGTTTAATATGATACAGCTCAATTCTAACTCTACTTATACTCTGATGGCTATGAAGCGTGTTCTTCTTCTTAATGTACACGGTGTCCCAAAAATAAGCACTCACTCTTTGATCGTTAGTAACTCTCTTCTCAAGAAGTCTTTTGCTTAGCTGCAAATACCATGCAGTAGTGCAGGCTTCAACTTAGGTTTGTAGTATGGAGCAAAACACCATGGCTCTTAATTGCTGTAAGATCGGTAGAAAAATATACAGCGCCATTTTGAAATAGGCCAGCAAAAAAAAGTTGTGTAGCAGTGTTTCAGAAATGCTAACACAATTAGATAACCTTGCTGAGAGTTTTTACGCGTTCCAGTTGGTTTAGATTTTGAAGCACTGAAAAAGGCAATTGGTTTACTTGGCACAAGTTATGAAAAAAAGCCTTCTAGTAAATTGGAAACTTCACATACGATCAGGACTCTGTTTCGTCTTGTGATAAAGTTTTCAGCTTGCTGAGTATCCATTTTAGGCCAAATTGATTTTAACCATCAATGTATAAGTTTACATAAATTTGATAGGAAGTTAAGGAGGGTTTGACTTTGTTTGAAACCCTCTCCAACTTTTTATTGTAATACTACAAGAGCTATAGGTGCTTCGCTTCATACCAGCAATCTAAGTTCAGGCCTGCTCTACTGGATGGCTGTTGAATCTAACCGAAAGACTTTGTGTGAGAAGAGTAATTAACGTAAAAAGTGTGTACTAACATTTGAGACAACCCTATATCAATTGCCACGTCCAATCATGTTGAAAATGATTGCTTAGTCCCTCAGAAAACTTTCCTGCCACAACATGGTAACGTGCACCTACAAGTTATGCGGCATTATCAACTTGGCAATCGGAAAATCACTAGCAGTAGAAGATTTCATGCACCGCTGATACGTCATGGCATGTTCCGAATAAACGTCAGTGAGTACTCTGCTGACTACCAGGTAGATTTTAACCTCAAGGTAGATTTGTGAATAGCAGAGTTACCTTGAGGTTAAAATCTACCTTGAGGCGTGCTCTCAAGGTAAAATTTAACCTCAAGGTTCGTTGATGAATACGGCCACTGGTTTGTCGTCCCCCCCCCCCCCCGAGCGGAAATCCTGGGTACGCCACTGCTTGTAGTCAACATACTCATGTTCTTGTCTATCACTCCTAAGCTGATATGCTCATCATAGATTAGGACTTGATGGCTTCAAATTTTTGATTGGTCATAATTTTTCCAGCGAATCCCACAGCAGATAGAAAGGTAGAATTGAAATCAGCCCAAGGAGCATCTAACGATCTGCATTTCATTCCACTTCGCCATTGCGATTTTACATAGTTCCCTTGTAGGCTTTATTTTCATACTGTAATGGATGTAGACCGCATTATTTTGATATTTGGATCAGACAAGTTTTCCCCATCTGTTTCATTTTTCAAAAAGCAGATCGACCGCACCGCTGCTTCGCGTAATTATCGCTCCCCAAACCATTCTTTTAGGTTAGAGCACCTCAGTAAGGTCGTTTGGCCGAGAATTTTTTTCATTGTGTTTAGGCTGGCTGAATTTAGAAAATAAACATGTGGGTCTTGTACTCATGTAATTAGGGTAACTTTTTTCAAAAGGCTTTTGAACTTTATATTGAAGTGCTTCAACTTGATTTGGAGGCAACAAAAAACGAATCATCAATTCTTCTATATCACCGTAAAAATACGACACGGATTTGAAATTCTCCTCGTTTCAGACATCTATATTTCTCCAAAATATTGTTTAAAAGAGCCAAAAAGTGCTGGATTTTCCAACAGTATTTTTACAGTGATAAGAAATTGGAGAACTCGTTTTGTACAAAATTGTACTGAATGAAGGAAAAAATGAAGCTTGCTAAAATGAAAAACGAAGCCTAAATAAAGCTTGCTTTACATCATACTTTCAGAATGATGTAAAGCAAGCTTCACATCATACTGAAAGTCTGCGAAAGGTATCTTGACAAAAGAATTACTAGCAAGTGAACGTTTAAAATATTTTATAGCACAATGTATTCTTTCTTTCACAGACAGGTTTTTGAGAAGTGTTTTTCATGCTCGGTGTCCAAGGCCTTCTGATTTAAGATGTGTACAATTATACTGCTTTGGAACGCTGATTACGAATGTGACTTCCGTTTCTGCTAGTTGCTTCTCTAAAAGAACTCATAAACGATTTTCGCGCTGGTTCCCACCCAAGCGAAATACGGTGGAACGCCGATGCTCCGTTATGGTCGGTGTAGTGGTCAGTGCGATAGCGTCAAAGGTTGACGCAGGTTTAGGTTCAAATCCTCTTGTGTTTTTTCTGTTTTGCATTGCCTCAGTTAAGCTTGTTCTTGAAAGTTAGACATATAGGCTGCTTCATGGCGAAGGTGCTATATCTTTAAGCGCGAAGGCGGATTTACTAGCTGCAAAGCGCATGAGACGCAGGATTTACAACAGTGAGGATACGCGCGCCTTCGTTCGCGCCCGTTCAACTGCTACCGCTTCTGCGCCTTCGTCCTGCACTAGCCTTTAGTTTCAAAGTCCTCGAGCTAAATGCATGCCTTTACTCTTTGAAAATTTGACAAAGGGTCATTCTCATATGAGTGTTTCCTATTCCTATATTTATTCTAAAAGGTGCTAGTAAAAGCAAAAATGAATGGAAAATGAATACATGTAGACATAGTGATTAAAACATAGGGTTGCAAGCGTTTGACCCCATATGCCGCCTTGTGAATGACTCTCTTGTTAAAGCTTGTCTTTTTTGTTCGAGTAAGTCAGTGGGATCCTTATCAGTGGGTACGTTTCAGCGCAAATTACCACATTATCTTCCAGTTGCATAATTTCAAAGAGAAAGGGCATGCATTTATCTGAGAATGCTTAACTTCCAAAACAGCCAAATTGAGGCAATGCAAATCTGAAAAACACTACAGGATTCGAACCTACACCTGCATCAACTTGTGAGGCTGTCAGACCGTATTTCCCCGTTGGCCGGCCAAACTTGGAGCGAAAATCTCTCATGCTTCTTAGGCTTTGGCCATACTTTGCCCGTGTTGCCGGTGTTGAAAGTGTTGCCGGTGTTGAAAGTGTTGAAAGTGTTGCCGGTGTTGAAAGTGTTGAAAGTGTTGCCGGTGTTGAAAGTGTTGAACGGAGATCATCAATCTAGCAGTTTCATTCTTTCTCGAACGATCTCACCGGCTGGTGAATACGTTGGAAATGAAATTGGGGAATGAGAAATGAAATTGAAATGATGGGAGATTTTCGTATGCAAAAGATCCTCTAACAAACTTTTTGGAAAGTGGACGGCTTGTCTGGAATAAGCAACCTCCAATATTTGAGAAAGCTGACGTCTGAATAGTAATGTGCTTTAGTTCGAATCCTGCCGCGCTTGCGATTAGTGAGTAAACGACCTAAGTGAGGTCTGCAGCGTTTTCAAATACTGGAGATTGCCTATTCCAGACAAGCCATCCACTTTCCAAGAAGTTTGTTTGAGGATCTTTTGCATGCGAAAATCTCCCATCATTTCAATTTCATTTCTCATTCCACAATTCCATTTCCAACGTATTCACCAGCCGGTGAGATCGTTCGAGAAAGAATGAAACTGCTAGACTGATGATCTCTGTTCAACACTTTCAACACCGGCAACACTTTCAACACTTTCAACACTGGCAACACTTTCAACACTTTCAACACCGGTAACACTTTCAACACCGGCAACACTTTCAACACTTTCAACACTGGCAACACTTTCAACACTTTCAACACCGGTAACACTTTCAACACTTTCAACACCGGCAACACTTTCAACACCGGCAACACTTTCAACACTTTCAACACTGGCAACACTTTCAACACTTTCAACACCGGCAACACTTTCAACACTTTCAACACTGGCAACACTTTCAACACTTTCAACACCGGTAACACTTTCAACACTTTCAACACCGGCAACACTTTCAACACTTTCAACACCGGTGAACACTTTCAACACCGGCAACACGGGCAAAGTATGGCCAAAGCCTTACAAATTCGTAACAGAAATTTCGAAATTAACGTTTCAAGGAGAGTGTAGTGGTATGCATCTCATCTTGAAAGACCCACCGAGTATAGTCCCTTGTAAGATAAGATTAGACAATAAAAACTAAAATTTTTCTCTTTCAGTCTCTTTTCTCCAAACCAATAAAAAATACAGGCGATAAAGACGTAATGATTGCGAAGTTTTGTGCTAAGAAAATGCTCAGGATATTCTCAAATATCTTGAGACAAGGAATTTTAACCAATACCTGGCTATTTGCTTGTACTGTATAAAAATTTTAGGCGAAGCGTTGTAGAAATCTGGCTCCGCATAAGTGGTCCAAATTCAAGGAAAACGGGCACCTTTCAAGCTAGAAATTACGAGCATTCCAAAATGCATTTTTTGAGTTCTCTCAAATGACAATTTTTGCAATATTCTCGCAAAAAAATTCCGGAAATCCAAGCATTTTCACTGCATTTGATGTATCTTTATTGTACTGGACAATCATACAAAAGTATGGTGTAATCAGAGGTTTCTTTTTTGCAATGGTTTTTCTTGCTTTATGCAAGACTGTTTCAGGAAAAATTATAGCCAAAGCTGAACCCCAAAAACTGCATTAATTATGAATTATTAGGATTCTGCTTCAATTATTGAGCTTCGAACATTTTTCGCGTAAAGATTTGAATCTTTGTAAAAAAAGATTACCTGGTAATCACATGCCCCCATCCGTAAAGCAACATTCCAACAAATGCCAAAGCACTTCCTACGAGGTGGACACTCCCATCTCCTTCTGAATACTGAAATTAGAGAGTTTGAGAAGTGCAAAGTACATCTTTTCATCTTTCATCATTTAGACGTTCTAGACATCTTTTCATTAAACAACTCACACAAAAGTTAGCAGCCAGTGTCAAGCCAAATGCGCCGGCAAGTCCAGCAATCAGTACCAATAATGACGTTATATACCACCATCCCTTTCTCCAATGTAGGCTGTGACCATAGAATTCGACTACTTGTAGATGGACCGCACAAAATGTAAGGATATCTGCAAAAAATGATCAAAGTCACAGCCATAATTTGGCTAGAAACATACAGAAAAAGGCGGACATGTTGAGAAGTTGTGCGAATAACGCACTTGCTGGGTAAGATTCTGTGAAATTACTAAATAAATAACTTCTATTGTATTAGTAATTTATTAGTGAAAATAACATAGGAAGACTTTACCCAATATACGGAACAGCGAACGATGATTGAAGTAGTCAGAGATTTTAGTGAAATGGCTGTAAGTGAAGTTGTGAAAATCAAGCAGTTAATTGTCAAATCTAAACTTGAATTGCAAAACACAAAAATATGAAAATGATGGAAAAAATGATTACAAAATAATTATTGAGCATACCCGCTTATGGTACCACCTATACACAGTAGTGCCGACAGTAGGGGGTAACAGCCAAATGCAGAGGCAGTTCATGCCGAGTATTATCCGATTGCAGCAATCTATAACGAAAAGAATTCTTTGAACCTGAAAATGTATAAACTCATAGTTAAGTTATAAATGCAAGCACTTACACCACTTTCCTCAATGATAAAGCTGATTCAACTCAACTTCTAGGGACGGCCGGTGAGAGATAACTGATATAATAGCAGTTTATCACGTAATACTGACATTAATAACGTCATGCAGAAAAGTAGATAAACACTTTTGGCCTTTTTCCTCGCCTAGAGCACACAAAATAACAAAATACTAGTCAGACAAGGACCTAGAAATTTAGTCTGATAACAGCGCGTAACATGATCTCAACTTTATGGCACTACAAAGTTTGGCACTCTGGTAGACGATTACGGAAGAGTTCAAATTCATTTTATACAAGGATGCTCTATTGTGATATTCAGCTTCTTCTCGTGTTTCCCTAGCACTTGCTAAAAGGTAAAAGCTTCAAGAATTGGAAAACTGCAAAAATCGCTGCAACATGTAGCTGTCTTTGACATGCATTTTATCGTAGATAACAAAAATAATTTTCTTGTCTTGACATTCCATCTTTTTATGCTTGCTATGAAATGCTTGCGTTCCCATTGAGTCCTTCCTGAACATCATAAACGATATAAGGTTAGTAGGCAAAAGTGTAGAACTATTATTTTCTAATACCAATGAAACAACACTTTCACTGAAATGTCTACCGCGCGGACTACTTCGAGACCCAGCTCAAATTTGAGCAGTCAAACCTTTCACTAGGCGTAAATATGTAACAAACGTTAACAAAAATATAAAACGCAACAAGTACAGGAATGTCAGAACTACTTAATGAAATAAAGGTGAAAAATGGGAATACTTGTCGATACTTAAAGACCCTCGACTTAAGGGCCAAGCACACTTCACGCGATTTCAGTCGCTACGCGATTCGGCAGTATTCCAACTGTCCATAACTCATTTAAAGCACAGTTTAAATGTACAGAAGTAGGGCGTTTAATCAATCCACTCAATAATGAGAAGTAAAGTTTTTTAAAGTAATGTGTAAATAACCAAAAACTCCTTTTCGTTCCTGCCCTTAGACGGAGTAAAAGTATTTACAGACCTTCCCCGGAACTCCTCAGTAAGGAAGGAAGGTCTGTAAAACTTATTTTCAATAATAAGAAGTAAATTTATTGAGGAGTGTAAAGTATGTACATGAATTTTTTAAAAATATAAGTTTCAAAAAGTGCTAAGTTATTATATCAAAACTGTGATAGTAATAGAATTACTTACCTCTAAAAGAATATACTTCAATATAGATATGTATCTTACAAGGGAAGGATACCAACATTAGATGGCAATTGAAAATGAGGTGTATATCAGCAGATGAGCCTTTGAACGCCGATTTCAAATCTGCTTTTCTTTTTTGCGGAATAAGTTTCCGAAAGAAGTTGTGAGCATTTAAATGTCCAGATTTGCCAAGCATTGAATGGCTTAAAATCAGCGAAGAGCTCTAAAACATCATCTATGCGATTTCCACCGGCTTTGTCCCTTCCTTGCAAACAATATTCTTGATACAAGAATGATTTTCCACGTTCCGGTGTTTTTGTACAGCTTTTCGCCAATTTTAGGCCACCTAAACTTTGACAAATTTGAACAATTGAACTCCCACAACTTCTTTCGGAAACTTATTCCGCATAAAAGGAAAGCAGATTTAGAATCAGCGTTCAAGGGCGCATCTACTGATGTATATCTCATCTTCAATCGCCAACTAATGTCGGTATCCTTCCCTTGTTAGAATACAAGAATTCCACTGTAAATATATGAGCTCCACTATATATAACCACATAACTTTCTAATAATATTCAAAATGAAGTATACCATGTTTAGTGTGTTTATGAATGAAATGATAATGGATTGTATCAAACATAAATCATTCTCAGTGTGTAGTTTAAGAAGTACAGTATTCTATTCGTAAAGATTGAAAATTTGATATTATTATTATTATCGTGTAGATTATATTTATATGATATGAAATCGTTTCTATGTAAACACTTGTAAACACTAGAGGAAATTGTGTCTTTGTCATATCCGTTTGATTCCAAATATTCTTTTAGTTTAAAATTTTTTCAAGAAAATCTAAGAAGAAAGAACATGTACGAACAATCCTAAGTGTTTCAGTGTAAATAGTAGCTTTTTTGATTTGCATGGAAATATTTGAGGTGTAGTGTATAAATCGCTTGACTTCGAAGTCAAAATTATCTGTTTTGTTATATAACTTGGTTATGAAGTTATTGTTTTCTAAGATGATGTCTAGATCAAGGTGACTGCAATGGTTTTTAATTACATGAGTTGTTTCTATTCCTAGTTTGTTATTATAAACTTGTTTGATCAATTCATGTATTTCATTCTCTTCAAAATTGTGTATAATTAATAAGTCATCCATGTATCTAAAGGTACGGAATAACTATATTCGTACCAAGATAGTGTCAGATCTGCTAACAAAGGACTAAAATTACTTCCCTGAGGAACACCTGTTTTTTGCTTGAATGTGTATAAACTGAATCTGCAGAAGCTATTATCAAGTATGTGATCAACATAATATAATAAATCTTCTATGTTATAATATCTATAATTTGAATTAGCATGTGTTATATCAGTGTAATAGACTTTATTGTAGCCATTGTATGCTATGTATTTTTTATTTGCATTCTTGAAACATAATGAGACAAGGTTTTTTATGTTTGTTTTTATGACGTTATGGGGTATATTTGTAAACATATTAGTGAAGTCTGCAGAATATAAACTCAAGTCATTAGTTGTAATACTTTTTATCTCATCAGTAATGTTGATATTGTCTATTGACCAATATGCTATGAAATAATGATTTTTGGTTTTGATTTTTGGTTTTTTTTGGTTTATTATTTACATAAATTTTGAAATGAGATTTTATAAAGGTAAAAATAACTCTTAACTCTACTGCTAACGGTTTAATGCTACTATGTGTAGCACCAGGTAATAAATCTAAGGCTCCCGCCAGAGTGCCGAAGTTATGCCAGCGCTACGCCAGCATTTCGATCGATACACGTGTATTTCGTTGGGAACGTCAGCTAGCCCCGCCCCAACGAAATACACGTGCATCGATCGAAATGCTGGCGTAGCGCTGGCATAACTTCGGCACTCTGGCGGGAGCCTAAACTTGATTGGATTCTTATGCATTTTAGGTAAGCAGTATATCAGTGGTACATTATTGTTATTTTGTAATGGTAGTTTACTTGCATTACAGAATTTTTTATGTCTATTGATTATATTAGGTCGTTCCGAAAGTTCTTTCCGTTTTTTCAAACTATCATAAAAACACGTGGAATGAAGGCAGGAAAACGCTTCAGTCACTATCTGACGCAGCTTTTCTTCCTCTTTTCAATTGTCATACTACTGTACCGCTTGCTATTGTGGTCAGTGAGATAATGAACGAAATTTCAGACCTATGGTTTTTACCATGTCCAACTTTGGCAATTTTTCACTATCTTCTTTCTTAACTTTTGGAGAAGCTTTGATAGCATTCAGATAGAGTGAACAAAGTGCAATGCAATGCAATTTTTTGGCAATTTCAGCCGGCTTCTCATTAATTTTTTAGATAACTTTTTCAGAAGTCTTCATTTTTTCGAAGTCACAAAACACACAAGCGCTCTGAACATCAACAAATCTTCGGATTCCGACACTTTCAAAAGTCGTTTATGATTACACACTATTTTTACAAAGTAACTGAGCGTTTACCGCTTCGAAATATAAGATTTTGCATTGCACGGATACATCATGAGGCGGGTTCAAAATCAAGATTTATGGAAGTTTTATCGCCAAAGACCCCACAAACTAATAAGAGAAAGTACTCATCAGAAAGAGGAGAAAAAGCTGCATTGAATGACACCTTAGTTGCGCGCCGTTTTATGTTCTGTGACTTTTGGCATCCCCAAAAGTGGGATTTGATAGCATCAGAAAAATAATTCTAAAAATGTTTTGAGGCTAGCTATAGATGCCGAAAAATTGCATAAAATTGCACTTTGTTTACTTTATCCGACTGCTGTCAAAGCTTTTCCAAAAGGCAAAAAAGAAGATAGTGAAAAATAGCCAAAACTGGACATGGTAAAAACCATGGGTTCTAAATTTCGGCCATTATCTCACTGATCATGAGAGCAAGCCGCACAGGATTATGACAGTTGAAAAGAGGAAGAAAAGTGCGTCGGACAGTACCTGAACCGTTTCCCTATCTTCATTTCACGTATTTTTGTGATAAGTTGAAAAAACGGAAAGAACTTTCGGAACGACCTAATATCAGTTGTATTCTCATTGTGATATATTAGGTTGAACGCTAATTTTTGCAACTGGTCTCATAACTTCCCTCTCACTCAACATGGTGCACTCAAATTTTGCCACTGTGTTGGTTATTATGTAAGCTACAAGCGCAGCTGCTGTCTTACCAAATTCTGACGTCGCAGTGAGGGTTACGGTGGGTGCATGGTATAAAGGGGAAAAATTCAAAGTTTGACGGATTTGGCTGAAACTTGGCATAAGGATGTTATCCGACATGCTGATCACGAAAACGATAGTGAAATTGCGTGATAAGGGCTTTTTTGTAGGATTACTGTAGGTGTACGATATGGGGTCCTACCTTAAACAATGAAAGAGACGTTGGTTTAACAAATGAATATGATATTCGTGTTTAGCAGGCCAAATAACCTTAATATGTAAAGTCTCGGTGGAATTTGAGCTTCGGACTCTTTTTCATTGACGGTCGTCCCCAGCAGCTCTTGCGTGCATCGACTCGTTCGAATTTATGAGGACGTCAAATCTCGACATGTCCCTAAATTTTGTTTCTTTCTTACTAGGCCAAAGGAGTCAACCTCCAGCAATAATTTATAGACGAATCCGGATTACTGCGCATAGTCTAGGCTGCCAAAGGCTTCATTTTAGCATGAAACCCCAAAAATTCACAGATTTCACTAGTTTTCGAAAAATGCCTGAAACTTTTCTTTTCTATTTCGTGTTCAAAATTCAGACAATTTGTGCTCGCTTGTAGCTCACATTGCATTCTACATCATGCCAAAGTTTGAGTGCGCCATGTTGAATGGTAGTGAAGTTAGAAACAAGTTGCAAAACTTAGTGTTCAACTTAATAAATCGTAG